TGTCGCTTTCTAGCCTTCTGATTTATCAAGTGGCTTTTGTTGTTAAAAATAGAGAACACTAATACACCTACAGGCACTTGGTCCTGATAGCGTACACTCTCGCTGTTCTATGACGGCAGTGAAAGTTGCTGTTTAGTGCAGTAGACACAGTGTCAAACTTGATTGTTGTTATTCTTATAAAGGGTTTTCTATTATGCCTTGTTAACAATTTAAATCTCATATAATACCTCTTCTGTTGCCTCCGAGAGTGTACTGCTCAACCAATCTCAGGCTGAACTATCGCTGACTTTATATTTATGGAATGAAATGGTCTGAAATGTGAATAAGCTCTGTGCGTGTTCAGAAGAGGTCAGAAGAAGCTTCAGTTTTAGCCAGCTTTACCGTGGTTCTAACCAAAGGGTCGTAATGGTTGGCACTGAAAGCCAGAGGGGACTTTGTAGGAGATCACTGGGAATACGAATTGCTGTTGATATCTAAACCTCTGGATGCAGATAACCCACGCCACTCATGGTAAATACACTCAGATATAAACGCCGAATAGGGTATAATCTGGTAGTTTAACGGCATACATCGAATTTGTGCTACGTTGGTATACTTGATGATGGAAAACCACTCCTCAAATGTATGTTACGGTTTAAAACAATCATAGTTCCGTCTGAACATATATAGGATAATCGAAGGATGGCTTACTTGAGGTGAACGGAAGATCAGTCCGGTTTCATTGTGTCGGATTAGGTCACAGTTACCCGGGTTTGCGCGAGCCAAAACAGCGGTTCCAAGCGTCATTGCCTCAAGGTGCATTAAGGAAGACAGACTAGATTTAATCAACCTTGAAACGGGGATGGGGTTCTTTAAAATACGAACTATCACATGTCACAAGTAAACACAACTTTTTTGAGCTATGTTCCTCGTGAGCATCAAAAAAGCTTGTTCAAAGCGGTCCAAAAGAGAATCAGATCACGGTGATCCAAGAAAGGCAAATTCCTTTGGATGTTAACCAAAACCAACGAAAAGCGCTTGACCTGCGTCTGGAATTGACTGTTATATTCCAATTTTCCGGAAACTTCCGCCGACATTTTTAAGCTGATTGGGAATAATTAAAGCTAATATTGTGACCTACTGAATAGCTGAGTGGTAATCAGACAGCAGAAAAATTAGGCGTATTAGTCCAGCCCACATATATGCAAAACCAATGTGTCCGTATGCAAATTAACCTGCATCGTCAAGAGACTACAAATATTACGGAGTCAGCACCAACCACAAATGAATTTTGCCATCATACGAGATGGATATTCTGACTGAGCAGAGAAAAGGCTACGTATTCTTGAAAGTAAATTGATTGAGTGAAACAAGCAAAATGTAGGAGGGGGATAAAACTAAACCAGGATGTTGTCATTCGGGAAGAGGTGAACAGGTGGCGGAGAGATGGTTGAACAACCAAATCCGGAATTCAGATTCCTGATAAAAATGTCTGAAAATTTTTACCGTGACAAAAGGCGGATGGAAGTAATGAACAATTTGTTGTTTTCTCTTTGATGCCCTTTACTGTCTCCTGGATAGTCATAAAATATGTGGCCATTGTTCTCTCACCCAATAACTACCCATTAAAACGCAGCCCCAAACAGTAACAACCAAATCTATTATCTCCAGTATTGATTTCGGAGGGTCTTCGTTTGGGCTGTCTGGCTTAGATGCGATAAGCGTATTTGTCTGGATCTACAAACCAGTGCGTATTCCAAGGAAATTACTGGTAAAAATAATAGACGTTTCCAGACGGAATGCTTTCTATTCTCTTAGCTTCTCCTATGCTAAATAGGTGGATCCAGCAAGCCTCTGCAACTCTGTGGAATTGAAAATAATTGAGCTTTTACAGAATCCGAAGTGTATTTATATGTTAACATACTCAATACACAAACGGGTTTCTCATTCTTCGTCGCTTAACTTCTCTCTATGAACTACGTTCCAGATTTCCGTTGAATATAGCCCTAAAATTTCTGATGACTCAGAGACTGTCGCTCGCAAACGCCTGTTTTACAGAACCTTCAAGTAACTCATGAACTGACACCGCCCGCTCTTCCTTCGGTTTCTCCGTACTGTTCGACAACCCAGACGCACATCCAAAATTACTTAACGGCTACTCATCCACCAGTTATATGTTATTCCTGCCAAACGTATAGAATTGAGCTTGCAAGACACCTAACAGTTCTGTTGACCTGAAATGGTCCTGCTATATTTCTACGTCAAGTTCTTTGGAAAAAAACACTGAGTTCAATGCAAAGTCACTTAGTTTGAGCTTCTGCTACGCAAATAACATGACGTGAATGACACATAAAAGGCACTTGAAGTTCACAGAGAAAACGATATTTTCGGGTAGCACGGAGGTTAAGCGTGAAGCGATCTATGAAGACTTACACCAAAAAGATACATGCTGTACATAGTCTGAAGAAACAACGAAATATGAAATTGAGTGTTTTTACATAACTTAGATTGACCTTATATCGCACTGTGTGTTACACTTGCCTGGAGAAGACATCGAAACTGGTCGGAAGTAAAATCAACGTTAACAGAAACTACAAGTGAAGATTACCCGTCATGTTACTGAAGGGGGATAATTATTCATTCGAAAGCCTATCAAGCACACATCGTGGATGGGTCTCAGCAACATAGAAATGGATGTGCAGTCAGCGTGGGTGAAAGTTTTTAGACTAATAACCAAAAGCTTTAGTTCAGTGCAACACAAGCAAGCATCATCAGTACCGAGATATACGTATCCGAAATAAAACAACAGATAACATCGCTTGAGGAGTGAGTAACCCTCCAATATAGATTCGCCGACAGGAACAATAAATCCATAGAAATGAAGAAATATCTAAGTCTGGTCAGGGATGAAAAGACTGGTTCACAAGCTGTAAAATTCCTTATCGCTAGAATTCAGAAGTGGTGCGCATTAGAGGTTTCCAATTTCAAAACAACTGGTGTAGTGAACCGGAGCTTTTATGGTGTAGCCATAAATCCTAGCGTCTATGCACAGGAGAGTTGGAAATTGTGGCAAGACAGGACTACATTCGCAAATGCAAACACCAGTGTGCGTCTCTTGTAGTAGATCACGTGTCCAAATCAAGCGTCTGATGTCTCTTTGGCGGTAATTACAATGCTAAAGTGTTTTTTAATGAGTACCAAAAGGATGTCCTCGTCATAAAGGGAATGTAATGGATAGGCTGAGTGAACCGCATTACTAAGTTTCGGACTCTAAATGGATCTCCGAATGTGGAAAGGAAATCCCAACCAAGAGCAGATAGTAAACTCAACAAGTCAAACATCACATAGAAAAATCTTGTCCGCAGTGAGGCCTTGTGCTTACCCTATATATGATTATCACTGGCTGTAGGATGTTGAGCTATCATTACTTGTTGTACACCGCAAAGTATCCACTACTAGTCACACGTATGAAAATATTTTCAAAATGAAATATTTATCTGTTCAATGTACTCATCACTGGTGAGATTAAGCTCCAGGATAATTCGAGGTGTCTTACTGTCCAGAGGCTTTATAGTCTCAAAATCAAATATGTTGCGTCAAAGTAAAACCCCACATACATAGAAGCTCTTTGCATCTTGGTGGTTACTAGACTATGCATTAGAAGAATGGACGCAGTGACGATTAAAATTACACCATTCCTTACCAAATGTGAAACCCTCGAATAACAAGCCATTTTGTATACATTCTCTTGGCGTATACAAAAGAAAACAACGTGTGCATGCTGTAGTAGGAGATCCATAGGGTTAGTGACTCAATCAACTGACTGTCACACAAGTTGTCCCAAGTTACAGAGAGGTGACTGTAACACTTGGAATCAATCCATCGCAGCTTTAGAATTAAAAAAAAACAGTTATGTGTCGTAGAGTGTTAGGCTTTGCTCAAAGTTTCCAGACAACAAGTGACAACTGAGTTTACGTCCATCGCTTATTTAAGTAGCATAACGCTACCGAGTGCGACGGCAAGTGTAGGTAAAGTGATTGGACCAAATACCGCATTCGACTGTCCGAATAAACACGCGACAACTAGATGAAACAGATGATCTCCGACTAATGTCGAATCTTGTGTCCAATGAAAAAGCGTTCACAGTGAATCAGTTTCCAAGCGGTTTGTGGGTACGGACGACGGTTTTTGGAGGCAACGGCCTGAATAGCACCAAGTGAAAAGTCAGGCTAATATTGAATATCAAGCTAAAATGCGATTTAGTGTAAAAAAAATCATACTGCAGGGGGTTATTGGTTAGGTTGGGTCATGTGCGCCTAAATCACAGTGAGTGGTCGCTTTGCTGGCGAACTGGTGCAATGCAGTGTTTCCTGAAGAGTCTTCAAGTTTACGGTACAGTTGCCTGTTATATTCACAAACAGACTTTCCAGAATGAGGTCCATACAACTCTGCTTATGGTGAGCCAACGGAATGCCTGCTGTCATTTGGCCTTATGAATATTTGAAGGCGTAGGAATTCCGCGTATCCGTGATAGACTACTCTTCCTTTCCCATTTTGCTTCCATTTCCATTAAAGATTGTTACTGAAAAAAGCAGACCTGGTTCTTCGACATTTAGACATGGTGCTGGAGAAGCATTGCAAAATCCACATATTGTGACCTCTGTTTTAATAAAAAAGATGTTCTAGTCAGTTTTACTTTTATTCGTATTTTTACCTTCATTAGTACTTGATTTGTTATAACTGAAACAAATCCTTGACCAGTCTTGACTTCGTAACAAAATAACCTACCGCCTTTTATTCACGCTGTGTACGAAAAACGAATCTCACTGACACGAAAACTTAGACAAACCAAAGTTTCGACGTCTTCAAGAACCTTTCAGACATTCTGAACGTGCCCTGAACATGGGAACCCTCTAACAGGAATATATGACCCAGTCTGTAAGATTCAAACGAGTAAATGGTGCATAAGGCAATGGGTATGCAACTTAGCAGACTATGAATCGTTGCAGCAGTAAAAATGGCTCCCGTCGTACTCGAAAAGAAAAGAAATGGGTGAAAACAAAGGGATCTTAAAATGGGTGGTTGACGGAGTACAATCCGAACAACGGAATGGTTTCCTAATGATGTTAACCTTCCATAGTAATGGAAAATGGACAGTCATATCTTGCTTACCCTACGGTAAGCAAATTTCAGTGAAAGACACTGGAGTCTTTGCGTACAACCAGCCTGAAACTTCGCCAGTATTACTATTCCGGTTTCGACCAATCGCCGAAGTCTGGCGAATCAATACTATACTCTCAGTTTTTTTGGAAAGCATGCAATCTATCGAGACGCCTCTTCAGAAAGTTAGGCATTCAGTTATTGGATTGATTACTAGACAGTCTTTCGGTTTTTAAACAGAAACTTAGTTAACTCATGTGAGTTGGTCGGGTTCCGTAGCAGAATATCTACTCTTCCAAACAGCAAGCTAAGTCAATGTTGACTGGCGACTAAAAGTTCTTGGTTGATGTGAATGTGATGGTGGATTGTGTGGGTTAGTAATTGTCGGAACAATTGAGGTGGGGAATCGTGAAGTCGCATGGATTCTTGTCCGTTTGGATTTTGTGCTTTCGACAGAAGCCTCCTGTTCAGCAATTATCACACACAGCCATATTTTCCACTCAGCCAACAGAAAACCGCTGGCCTATATTTTTTGTCACTCTGGTGATTCGGCGCGATCAAAGAAATTCTACTCAAAACGTAGTAACATTGCAACATTTTTAAATGTCACGTATGGTGAAGTCATTGATTTTTTCAGGAGAATCATCGGA